ATAGTGGAACAAATGTATTTATTTAAAATTGCCTTGCTCAAAGGCAATTTTCACTTGAGCATTTTTGAAATGCTAATGTCCTGTCCTTTTACTGTTGCCTCCGGTTTAAATGAGGTAGATCTATTAAAAGTGCCTGCCACAGTATCGTTGTTAAACAAAACAAATCGTTCATTTCGTGAAAACGCCAACAAGCGCGAAAATGAGTAACATTACGCAAAGTAGGTACGGATTTTGAGCAATTTTGTACACTTGTAAATGAAAACTTCCTTTTAAATTTTTTTTTCTATGCATGCAGTAATTGAAATATCTATTTATATCTAAAAAATGAAAAGTTTAAAGTTAATTTCCACGAATAATATCGATTTATTTTTTTTTTCGTTGATACTAATTACATGTATTATGACAATAACAATACTGTGCAAAGTTTACAATGAACGAACAACAATAATAGCAGAAAAAACCACAACCTCTATTATTTATCTGCTTGTTTATTTTATTACATTATCGCGATAAATCGAAGTAATTTTTTGCAAAATAAACACATGTTTGACAATGAAGAAAACTTGTTGAATAAAAAGGGTGTATGCAACCCTGGAAAAATTAATATAAAAAAGACCTAACTTTATTTTTTAGCATTTTATTATTAACAAAAGCTTAAACATGACAAAACATAGTATCGAACTAAAATTAGCGAATAAATCGGAAGAAAAAATTTCATTTATTGAAAGAATATTAACAAAAAATGATGAAGCATCATCTATAACATACATTGATGACGACGTTACGAATTTACGTACAGTTACTGATAAAATTCCAACAGGTTAGTTTCTATTGTCAATGTTCTAATGAATGGGTTCATTTTCACATGTATAATGACATGTATGTTTCAACCCATTTAGCATGTCGAGTTGTAATATTTTGCGAATTTTGTGATCGATTTACACTTTTTGGAATAATGGCAATACTCCAAAACTATATTCAGTTTCCTTTGTCCACGGCACATAGCCAACAACCAGGCGTTATGGGTAAAGGGGAAAAAGTCGCAACGGCATTAACCTTATTTTTTAGCTTTATAACTTACTCAACATTGATGATTGGTGCAGTGATTGCGGATGCCTATTGGGGAAAATATAAGACAATACTTGTATTTGGGATTATTTATGCTTTAGGACCATTAATTTTAACAGTAACGTCAATTCCGCCAGTACTGAACACTAATGCACCATTCATAGGCTTGGTTATTGCTATTTTGTTAATGGGACTAGGACGTGGAGGTGTAAAATCCAATTATACGGTAGCAGCTGCAGAACAATATCCTCATAAGAAACCATACATAAAAACATTGAAAACCGGTGAAAAAGTAATAGTCGATCCAGAATTAACTATTCAATCCATATTTAATTGGCTATACGTGTTAACAAACATCGGAATGCTTTCGCCATTTATTACAACCACCATAGAGAAATATCATTCATTTTGGTTGGCATATTTAATGTGCCTTATGGTTTTTATCCTTTCAAACTTGGTTTTTTATCTTAAGAATAAGGATTTCAAAAAAATCCCTCCTAATGGATCCATATTTGTTGATGCCTTCAAAGTATTTCGGATCGCTTTGACAAGTCGTACACGTAGTTTAAATTCAGCAAAACCATCAAATATGACTCCCATTCAATTAAGTCGGCGCCACGTAAAGTGGGATGATAATTTTGTGGATGATCTGAGAAAAGGATTGCAAGCCTGTAGTCTATTCATGTTTTATCCGATCTACTGGGCAGCGTGGAGTCGATCACATACCAATATGATTTCTCAGGGAGCGACGATGCGATCAGGGAATATGCCAAACGATTTAATGACTAATATCGTTCCATTGGCGGCGGGTCTTATTTCCATTGTTGTGGATAAAATCTTATATCCAACAATGCGTAAATGTGGTGTAACACTTCTGCCGACTACTAAAATATTCATTGGGTTTGTTTGTATGGCTTTGGCAATGGTATACTGTGCTGTGCTTCAATGGTTTATATATAAAACGGGGCCATGCTATCAACACACGCTTTGTATCATTGATGGTAAAATGGTTCCGAATGATATTAGTATTTGGTGGCAAGTGCCTGGTTATTTTCTGATTGCGGTCTCTGAAGGTATTATTATTATTATTAATCATTTAATTTTCTTTTTGATTTCTTCTTTTTAATCGACTTTTGTTTGATATGTTACTTTAGTTTTCGTCTATATAACTGCGCTTGAATATGCATACCATAAGGTAAAGTAAATATCATGTATTTGTCTGGGTTAGTTTTTAATTTGGTCTCATGTTATAAATCTTTTTTCATAATAGGCACCGAATTCGATGGAATCGATTGTTACCGCTTTGTTCTTTACAACTGATGGCGTTGGTTCAGCCTTAGGGCTCCTCGTGGTGCCGCTTTCGCATGATCCTTACACCTTCTACGCTTATATAATTATGTCAGCATTAATTATTTTCACAGGATTACTGCTGTTAATTCTGTTCCGCAAATATGATCTTGAACCATCTTCCTTGTCAGATGATTCGAACGTCAATCTTGAAAATACTGCAAGGATAAAAAACGATTCTGAGTTTGAACTGATTTATTGAGTTTGATTTTTTGTTAGTTATTTATATTCTGATATAGATGTAAA